CCAAATCCCAACCCTCCACCAGACAACAACATCAAAACACAGACCTTTGCGAAAGGCACCACTCAACCCACCACCCAAGACATTCAAGAAACGGCCCCCACCCCTGCTGGCGCCTCCACCAGAACCTCCTTCCTGTCCACCTCCACCCCCTTCAAACCCTGGGCCAGAGGGGAGCTAGTTCCAAATCCCTGATCCCTCACCCTAGCCCTTATGGGTCCAGATCTATCCCCCAGGGTCCTTACTACGTCTGACCATACAGCACAACTCCCAAAAACCTCTATTCCCTCAGAGAAACCGGCTCCCCCTCCAAGATCCTTCAGCATACCACTCCCCCCCCCCCCCCCCCCACAACCCATTACTACCCCTGATCGCTCCTGCCCGCCCCTCACTGTCCCTGATCCCCACGTCTCACCAACAACTGCCCCTGATCCCCCTCCCATACATCCCCTACTGCCCGTCTCCTTCCCCCTGCTCCTTAGTGACCCAGATCCACCCCCCTTAGCCCTCCCGGCCCCTGATTCCGCACAGCAGCAAACCAGCCAGCCTCAGTCGAGACCCCCGAACCCCCCGAACCGCCTTCTCCTTTCAGGACCACCATCCCACCACCAAGAAAGTTCAGGAGGCCACCAGCCAGTCAGTGGGGAGGCAGGTCAAGACCCATGGTCAGCCAGGAACCACCCAACAACACCAAACACCCACTAGTGGCCCTTATCCTCCTCTGGAATGAAATGATCAACCCCAGGCCCGGACCCCCCCTAATAACCAATTATCAATATCTCCATAAGACAGAGCACAGGAAGACAGCACTTGGAGAATGGTCCATGGCTGCCTCCCCTTCCCACCTATCCATTGACTGCACAAGGTATGTACAGAGAACTGCCCCCATGGATGCACTCGCATGGAACACACCTACCAACTGTTTCGTGAGTGCTCCGTGGCCAGGCGGGTCTAGGCCCTGTTTGTTACCTCTGTCCTCTGCTCTTGTGCGTCCAGCCTTGCCGCCGCATCGCTTCTCATCCAGCACCAGCCCATCCAGCACCCCCTCATACAGCACCAGCATCTTCCCAGTACCCTGTTTCCAGCACGAGTCCCAGCACCAGACCAGGCGCTGAGGAGGGACCAAAGATCTTCACCTGGAGCAAGCAGGCCACAGGGAAGAACCACCATTGACCTCTGGGTCCAGGGCTCCCTTGTGTGTCTGCTGGCTCCCCAGGTTGTCCTTCCTCCCCTCCACAGACCCAGCACCTGCACCAGCCCCAGTTCCTATTTTTTCCCCCAGTTTTCGCACCAGCACGACTTCCAGTTCCAGCCTCAATACCAGCACCAACCCTGGACACAGCACCGACCAACCACAACTGCCACCTCCATCTAGCAACTGCCAGCCCTTCCCCTCCCCCAACACAAAGACACAGACACAATGTGGACTGACGCTGACTGATAGACTAATTCTACCGATTCTTCCGTTTTTTTGATTGATTGTTTTTGTTTGATTAGATTACCATTTGGTTTGCCTAATTTGAATTGATTGCTTATTGTTTTGAATTGTTTATTATTTTCCATTTTAACTTATGTAACATTTTACATGTAAAGAATACAAAATAAATACAGAAATACCATTATTGATGCAATTCATGTTTGAGTTGCTTTTGTGTATCACCAAAGTTGCTTGACAAAGGCGTTTAAAAGAGCTGTCAGTCAAGTCGAGCTCATGAATATAAGCTCCCTGCCCACTCAGCCTGTCTTTTCAAATTTCCTGGTAGTAAGCCATGAGAGAAAGTAATTTTTCAAAAATGTTGAGCATTTTTATGCAAAACAAATGTTATGGGTTAACAGAATGACTGTTCAGGACCTTTAAAAAAAGATCCAGCTGCTTGATCAACCCAGCATAATTGAAAACCCAATTTATGGTTAAACTAACTTGTGTTGGGTTATTCACAGAACCTGTGATATTATGCTGGCTTGCAAAGTGAGGTGTAATTCCTATTGAAATCCAGCCAGAGTTGGGATATCCAACCTTCTGAATATTTAGGTCATTTTATTTGGTTATGCATGAGTCATACATAATTCAAATGGCATTCAAGTAAAAAAGTTTAAAGCAAGGTATTAAATCAATTCATATTTACAGTTGAAGTCGGAAGTTTACATACACTTAGGTTGGAGTCATTAAAACTCGCATGACACAAGTAATTTTTCCAACAATTGTTTACAGACAGATTTCACTTATAATTCACTGTATCACAATTCCAGTGGGTCAGAAGTTTACATACACTAAGTTGACTCTGCCTTTAAACAGCTTGGAAAATTCCAGAAAATGATATCATGGCTTTAGAAGCTTCTGATAGGCTAATTGACATCATTTGAGTCAATTGGAGGTGTACCTGTGGATGTATTTCAAGGCCTACCTTCAAACTCAGTGCCTCTTTGCTTGACATCATGGGAAAATCAAAAGAAATCAGTCAAGACCTCAGAAAAAAAAATGTAGTCCTCCACAAGTCTCGTTCATCCTTGGGAGCAATTTCCAAACGCCTGAAGGTCCCACGTTCATCTGTACAAACAATAGTACGCAAGTATAAACACCATGGGACCACGCAGCCATCATAACGCTCAGGAAGGAGACGCGTTCTGTCTCCTAGAGATGAACATACTTTGGTGCGAAAAGTGCAAATCAATCCCAGAACAACAGCAAAGGACCTTGTGAAGATGCTGGTGGAAACAGGTACAAAAGTATCTATATCCACAGTAAAACGAGTCCTATATCGACATAACCTGAAAGGCCGCTCACCAAGGAAGAAACCACTGCTCCAAAACCGCCGTAAAAAAGCCAGACTACGGTTTGCAACTGCACATGGGGACAAAGATCGTACTTTTTGGAGAAGTGTCCTCTGGTCTGATGAAACAAAAATAGAACAGTTCGGCCATAATTACCATCGTTATGTTTGGAGGAAAAGGGGGACGATTGCAAGCCTTAGAACACCATCCCAACCGTGAAGCACGGGGGTGGCAGCATCATGCTGTGGGGGTGCTTTGCTGCAGGAGGGACTGGTGCACTTCACAAAATAGATGGCATCATGAGGAAGGAAAATTATGCAGATATATTGAAGCAACATCTCAAGACATCAGTCAGGAAGTTAAAGCTTGGTCGCAAATGGGTCTTCCAAATGGACAATGACCCCAAGCATACTTCCAAAGTTGTGGCAAAATGGCTTAAGGACAACAGTCAAGGTATTGGAGTGGCCATCACAAAGCTCTGACCTAAATCCTATAGAATATTTGTGGGCGGAACTGAAAAAGCGTTTGCGAGCAAGGAGGCCTACAAACCTGACTCAGTTACACCAGCTCTGTCAGGAGGAATGGGCCAAAATTCACCCAACTTATTGAGGGAAGCTTGTGGAAGGCTACCCAAAACGTTTGACCCAAGTTAAACAATTTAAAGGCAATGCTACCAAATACTAATTGAGTGTATGTAAACTTCTGACCCACTGGTTATGTGATGAAATAAATAAAAGCTGAAATAAATAATTCTCTCTACTATTATTCTGACATTTCACATTCTTAAAATAAAGTGGTGATCCTAACTGACCCAAGACAGGGAATTTTTACTAGGATTAGATGTCAGGAATTGTGAAAAAACGAGTTTAAATGTATTTGGCTAAGGTGTATGTAAACTTCCGACTTCAACTGTATATCATTTATATTTCATAACCGTAAGATTAATTTATCAATCAATGCACATGCAAAAACATAGATATTGAAACAATTCTTAAAATCAACCTGCAATAGAGCATGCTGGGAAATATAATGATGGGCGTGGTTTTAGCTCAACTATTAACGGTCATGTTTTTCATGAAATTGGATGATATTTAAAGAAACCAGATGAAATTATGATGATCTTTTTTGTATACATCTCCCGTTTGGTAGGTCTCTTGTGACGTGGTTTTCAGAAGCACTGACAGATGTGTTGACTTGACAACTGCGTCTAAGTTTTGAACGACCAGTCCCCCCCTTTTGTTCCATGCAGGTTGTTCATATTTTGGTCATCATACTTTTATCTGGTTTCATCCAAATATTATCACATTTTATGAAAAACATGATTTTTACTGTTCATGCCCTTTAAGGCAAGGGTTATGGTTAAGGATCCTGGATAGCGGCTACCATATGGAAATGTTAGCCTGTATTGATAATACAACACTGCCCCCCTGTGTTTGAATAACAGACTTATCAGCGGAGTAAATTCCAATAGCATACATTTGACATTTTAGTCATTTAGCAGACGCTCTTATCCAGAGCGACTTACAGGAGCAATTAGGGTGAAGTGCCTTGCTCAAGGGCACATCGACAGATTTTTCACCTAGTCGGCTCAGGGATTAGAACCAGCAACCTTTTGGTTACTGGCACAACGCTCTTAACCACTAAGCTACCTGCCGCCCCATTTTACAATATAAAACGGGACTTTGAACAGAATGAAAATATCCACAAATGCAATGTTGATGACTATGAAACATTTTATTTAGGCTTCAATTGGTTGATTATATATGTTCTTTCCAACTGTGTTAAAAACATTTTTTCCATGGTAAGACATTACTCACATGAAGGAATTATCTTAACCTGGGATGAAATAATTACACTGATAATGTAATTGACACAGATTGTGCTTTATAGTAATGATATTTTATGTGCAGTGCTGTGCTATTGGGTTCCTTAATGTTAATCATTTGTCAATAGAACAAACTTGTCTGGTGTACTCAGGAAATAAATTACAATGATATACCGGTATTTAGTATGTGACAGTGAAAAAAAGTATACAATTGTGATATTACAAAACAACTCCTCGTACAAAGAGTTAAAAGGTTAAAATAAGCAATACAAAATTACACAATAGGCCAAAACAAGCCTTTTATACAATTGCTGTAAGACTACAACATGATACCACAGTCAAATAAGAATAATATGAATAAAGTGTAATTATAAAGTAGTGTAAGAATTATATAGGCCTTGATTTAGACAGTTTGAAATAAGATGTTGGTGTTCTTCTTTATCCTGATGGCCTTCCTTTTGTGAGTGGGATCTGAAAATGGCACAACACAAATGGCAAGTTGTAATCTTTTAACACTTCTCTATGGCACTAGTCAAGAAATAAACATTGCATCCTTAAGGTAAATGCTATTTAGCAAAAACACACTTGATTTTTAAATGAAAGATCCAAGAGTGGAACAAAAGTGTGGCACTTACACACCTGTTTCAAATAATCAACTAATCATGGTCTTCAGTCTGGAGGTTGATCATTTGAATCAGGTGTGTTAATGCTGGGCTGGAACAAAAGCCTGCACACCCAGTAGCTCTATAGGACCGGTGTTGGAGATAACGGTTAACTTGGATCTTACTCGGCTTCATACACATCTTCATGCAGTGTCTCTTGAGGACAAAGTGGTTCTTGTTGCTCCCACAGCCACTGTTGCGCAACCAATGACATCTCTTTGTCTTGGGGTTGTACACATATCTCCTTCCCGTTCTTCTCTCCTCTCCGTCACATGTCATGCCCTTGTCAATGGGACTGAGACAGAACTCTGGAGGACTGAAGTCTGAAAGAATTACACAGAGGCAATTATAAGCTGAAATGTATGTACAACAATGACTCCATAGTACCAAAGACACATTTTATAACACTAAAGAAAGTGTGTAGGCTACATCTGCAATGCAGCTCTGATAGAACATACTTTAATAAAAGCATTTTTTTATTTTACCTTTATAAAAAAGTGTGGTTAATGGAAACCTACTGTAAAAGTGACTACCCACTGGGCACACACTGGTTGAAACAACGTTATTTCCACACCATTTCAATGAGATTATGCTGAACTAACGTGGAATTTACACCTGTGCCCAGTGGGTACTGGATTCTACTACTTTGTCTTTTACTTTTGAAATGTATCACAACAAAGGAAACCTTGTTTTTACTACCTCAAGAGTCAAACTGTGGAAAATCCACAAGATGTCAGCCTTGGGTTAGGGGAGTACTGTAGGTATCCTATATCACTTCACTGGAATGACAAACATGTATACAGAAACACTCCTTTCCTGAATTCACTGAACTGGGTGGAATTTTGTAACATGAAACATAACTACTTGTCTGTGACTGAGTGATGGCAGACTCCCTGTGCCCCTTTGTACTGTGTTGTGACCTCTGTATCTGACAGTGGTGGTCTATGAGTACTTACTCACTCCTCATACACCATACACTCCCATTTTAATAGCAGTGAATCAGTGTTACATGGAAGAAGGAGGTGGGAGGAGGTATGGTGGGCGATTTGCTGCCTTTATAAGTTGTTCGTTTACCCAACTGCTTCTGAAATGGCACATGTAAAATGAATGTCTCCCGAGTGGCGCAGTGGTCTAAGGCTGTGACACTAGAGATCCTGGTTCGAATCCAGGCTCTGTCGTAGCCGGCCGTGACCGGGAGACCCATGGGGCGGCGCACAATTGGCCCAGTGTCGTCCAGGTAGGGGAGGGAATGGCCGGCAGGGATGTAGCTCAGTTGGTAGAGCATGGCATTTGCAATGCCAGGGTTGTGGGTTCGATTCCCACAGGGGGCCAGTATGAAAAAAATAAAAATAATAATGTATGCACTAAATGTAAGTCGCTCTGGATAAGAGCGTCTGCTAAATGACTAAAATGTAAATGTTACCTAGCTATTGCAGTTGCATCATGGTATGTGTGCAATAGTACACATGAGAATTGACTGCATTCCTGGGTTACAGTACTAACCTGTGGCCTGGTGTTGATGATTCTGCTGCATGTGTGAGGTGCTTAAAGCAAATTCACCTGAAAAATAGGAAATATTCAGCATTCACATGCTGCTTTCAATATGAGAGTGGAGCATGCATTTATTCAGCCTTTTACCAGTATTAGAAGTTGTGATACTGTAGTTAACTTAGAGGGAGTTAATATCAACTCACCATGACACAAGATATATATACTGTAGCAATACAGATCCACAAGGGTACATGGTGTTGTCATTTCTACTATCTCTATAAAACTTTTCCCTCAGCCTTTTCCATCCTCCCTCAGAATTCTCTAAAACACAGCTGACAGGATATCAGCCCTTCCACATAGTGGTTCATAGTCTTCAGAGACCCCACAACCCCACTTTCCTGACCCTGCCAATCAGAAGGGCTGACAGAAGGACAGACAGGCATGCTGGGAAAATAAAAAGCTTATTGGGCAAACAGTTTAATATACTGACGCTATGTACAGTATCATGACGTAGGCCTACATGCAAAAATAATGCACAAATGAAACAATTACTTTCTGTCTGGTTATTGAAACATTAGATCAATATATAGTTATGTTTATAGACATCCATTTTGTTAAATCAGATTAGGCCTGCCTGAAATATCTTTGGTGCTACTGCACAATTAATTGTCTTCTTTAATCAATTCCTAGAGCTATCATTTGTTTAAGAAATAAAGATGATACAAACATGAACTCAAAATACATAAACATTGTTGTCTTACCAGTTACTTTGAGAGGCTGTCCATTAGGTTTACTAGTGGGTTCTGGGACGGTGACCTCCAATTTAGGGGTCACATCCAATTTATGGGCCACATTGGCGTTTTCTGCCATGAAACCAAAGCATGGTTAGAGTTTACTTACATAATAAGTTACAGCATGTAATAGAAATGTAACATAATACAAACAGTGTACTACTCTATTGTTAAAACCTGTTCACCAAGGAAGTATTGTAATATGACATACAGTATACAGAACTTATTACACTTATGGATTCAGGATTATTAAAGAGAAAAATACTTTTGAGCCCAATACAGATGGATTAAGGATTCTGATACAGAATGAAAATGTAATTATCTTTGAGTTGTCGTCAATATAGTTTTTTACATTGTTTGTCCATTTAGATTAATTTAATTCAAAATTGGACCTATGTCTAAAATAATTAAATATGCCCAAAAGGCCAAAAATACAATCTAAATGCAAAATTAAGGTGAGGCATGACTTCATGGTTGGAAAAAAATCCATCAACAAGATAATTTGCAAGGTAGTGCAATATCGACTGGGCAACTACATTGAAATTAATTATCTCCTAATTTGCATTGCATAAAATAAGTGGGTATTTTGTCATTTAAAGAGGTATGACTGCCTAAGAGCCCAGGCATCACAAAAATGACATAAATGCACTTTGGAGAAGTAATATACTCCCCTAGCACATTTCTATTAAACAAAGCCTTGACAGTGCTTCTAGGGCCATAAGTCCAAACCTTTTTCCTTCAATTTAAAAATATTGATTAGCCTCACTGATCAAATCTTTCTTGCAAACCATATGATTGGTTGGTCCCTTTTAGACTACTTTGGTGTAATCCATTGTTTTGAAGGGCAGTTTTCGATGCTGATGCCCTACCTGGGTTCTGGCACCTGGCCTGGCACTCTTTCATACTCTTGAAGTTATTGGCGTTGCCGAAGCAGCCTCCGTAGTAGAAGTGCTTGCACTCCTGGCTCTGGCTGTCAAAGAAGTAGCGCGTTACCAGACCTCGGCACGGCCCCGGAGCCTCCTCCAGGTGACAGGGACTCTTGTCAGCTGGAGAGAGATGGAGGGAGATGGACAGAGAGAGAGATGGAGAGGGCAGAGGGCAGAGAGAGATACCTTTATTGAGATACTGAAAAGGGGAGAACTAGGTACTAGCTACTGGGTCATTTGAAAAGATGATAGCTGGGAAATGTGAAAAAGTGCAGTATGGGGAATGGGCTACTGAGACATCCTGTTCACTGAAGTAAAATACAATCTACATTAAGGACCATTGGAACCCAGTCAATTGATTTCCAGGCAAATTGTGAATAATAGAAGAAAAGAGGTGGCACTAAGACTGGAGTGCTAGAGAGAGTGACTGAACAGATGGATAAAGGAAGAGAGAGGGGGTAGAGAGAGGGAGAAGACATACTTAGGCATGGAGGAAGATAGTGTGGGCTGCTGACACAGTTAGTCATAAATAGATAGATGTAAAATAGATGTGGAGAGACAGAAAAAGAACGAGAGAGAGAGAGAGCGAAAGAGGGGAAAGTGGAGGTAAGAAAAAGGAACCACATTACATTGAGGAGAAATGTAAGGAAGGAGGCGCAGAGATGTTGAGTTGAGAATCTTCCTGGAGCCATAGTCAAATGCTCTAGTCGATGAAGCATGTGATAAGAACTGAGCAGATAGATTATGGATCTCATCCTTTTCATCAGGGCAGGTATACACAGCACATTTGCATTTGGAATTTTAACAGCCAAAGTGTTAAATGTAACACTTTCTTAGTGTGTATATGTGACCCACCAAAATAAACTAACATTTTTCAAAGTGTTGATAAACTAACACCCCAGTGTTAGTTTAGTGTTGGGTCCCTAACACTGTGGGTGTTGCAAATTCTGACTTAAATGAACACTTTATTAGGGCTGATGTTGTTACACTTCCTCAGTGTTAGGGAATTAACACTTGTGGTGTTACAGTAACTCGTTTTTGGGTGTTGTTTTAGCACTGTAGGGTATAAAGCCTTATTTGCATATATATTTCCCAGGGTGCCTCTCCAGTGTATTCTAGCGGTACCAGTACCACCCATGACTGTGTTTGCTAGTGACAAAGAAATGGGTGTTGCATTCGATGGCTTTCAGTCCTGTAGTATTCACTAGATAAATATTTTATCATAAATATTTATATTGCTTCTTTTTTACCATAAGTGTTACATAACTCCTATTGGAATCCAGACAGAGTTAAGATATCCAACAAGTTGAACTTTTAATGACCTGCAATATGCAGTTAGAATGATTGCCAGAGTAGGAAAGGTTAATAAATGAGACTACCTTAAACATCTAAATAATGTGAAATAAGTCCAACCACTTACAGACTGGATTAATTTAGAAAAATGTACACTACCGGTCAAAGGTTGTGGAACACCTAGTCATTCAAGGGTTTTTCTTTATTTGTTACTATTTTCTACATTGTAGAATAATAGTGAAGACATAAAAACTATGAAATAGCACATATGGAATCATGTAGTAACCAAAAAAGTGTTAAACAAATCAAAATATATTTTATATTTGAGATTCTTCAAATAGCCACCCTGTCACAGTGAGCAAACCAGGTCGGCAGGAGGAGTTCTGTCTGCAGTATTTTTATTTAGTGTGAACTTCTATTTTTGTATTTTCAAACCCTTTCCCAGAACCACATGTCTGTTATCAAATTATTTGACAGGTGAACTCAAATTCCATTGCATTTGCTAGATGTCCTAGAACCTTTGAAGGGCTTGCACATTTCACTGTTTTCTCTCAAAAGCGTCAAATAAGGCTGCCACCATTCAATTTCACCTTTATTTAACCAGGTAAGCCAGTTGAGAACAAGTTCTCATTTACAACTGTGACCTGGCCAAGATAAAGCAAAGCAGTGCGATAAAAACAACAACACAGAGTTGTGGGATAAACAAAACGTACAGTCAAAAACACAATAGAAAAACACAATAGAAAATCTATATACAGTGTGTGCAAATGTAGTAAGTTATGGAGGTAAGGCAATAAATAGGCCATAGTGCAAAATAATTACAATTTAGTATTAACACTGGAGTGATAGATATGCAGAAGATGATGGGCAAATAGAGATACTGGGGTGCAAATGAGCAAAATAAATAACAATATGGGGATGAGGTAGTTGGGTGGGATAATTACAGATGGGCTGTGTACAGGTGCAGTGATCGGTAAGCTGCTCTGACAACTGATGCTTAAAGTTAGTGAGGGAGATAAGAGTCTCCAGCTTCAGAGATGTTTGCAGTTCGTTCCAGTCATTGGCAGCAGAGAACTGGAAGGAATGGAGGCCAAAGGAGGTGTTGGCTTTGGGGATGACCAGTGAGATATACCTGCTGGAGCGCATACTACGGGTGGGTGTTGCTATGGTGACCAATGTGCTAAGATAAGGCGGGGATTTGCCTAGCAGTGATTTATAGATCCAGTGGGTTTGGCGACGAATATGCATTGAGGGCCAGCCAACGAGAGCGTACAGGTCACAGTGGTGGGTAGTATATGGGGCTTTGGTGACTAAATGGATGGCACTGTGATAGACTACATCCAATTTGCTGAGTAGAGTGTTGGAGGCTATTTTGTAAATGACATCGCCGAAGTCAAGGATCGGTAGGATAGTCCGTTTTATGAGGGCATGTTTGGCAGCATGAGTGAAGGAGGCTTTGTTGCGAAATAGGAAGCCGATTCTAGATTTAACTTTGGATTGGAGATGCTTAATGTGAGTCTGGAAGGAGAGTTTACGGTCTAACCAGACACCTAGGTATTTGTAGTTGTCCACATATTCTAAGTCAGACCCGCCGAGAGTAGTGATTCTAGTCGGGCGGGCGGGTGCCAGCAGCGTTCGATTGAAGAGCATGTATTTAGTTTTACTAGTGTTTAAGAGCAGTTGGAGGCTACTGAAGGAGTGTTGTATGGCATTGAACCTCGTTTGGAGGTTTGTTAACACAGTGTCCAATGAAGGGATGTTTTCAAAATGGTGTCGTCTGCGTAGAGGTGGATCTGAGAGTCACCAGCAGCAAGAGCGACATCATTGATATACACAGAGAATAGAGTTGGCCTGAGAATTGAACCCTGTGGCACCCCCATAGAGACTGCCAGAGGTCCAGACAACAGGCCCTCAGATTTGACACATTGAACTCTATCTGAGAAGTAGTTGGTGAACCAGGCGAGGCAGTCATTTGAGAAACCAAGGCTATTTAGTCTGCCAATAGGAATGTGGTGATTGACAGAGTCGAAAGCCTTGGCCAGGTCGATGAAGACGGCTGCACAGTACTGTCTTTTATCGATCGCGGTTATAATATCGTTTAGGGCCTTGAGCGTGGCTGAGGTGCACCCATGACCAGCTCGGAAACCAGATTGCATAGCGGAGATGGTACGGTGGGATTCGAAATGGTCGGTGATCTGTTTGTTAACTTGGCTTTCAAATACTTTCAAAAGGCAGGGTAGGATGGATATACAGTTGAAGTCGGAAGTTTACATACACCTTAGCCAAATACATTTAAACTCAGTTTTTCACAATGCCTGACATTTAATCCTAGTAAAAACTCCTTGTCTTAGGTCAGTTAGGATCACCACTTTATTTTAAGAATGTGAAATGTCAAAATAATAGTAGAGAGAATGATTTATTTCAGCTTTTATTTATTTCATCACATACCCAGTGGGTCAGAAGTTTACATACACTCAATTAGTATTTGGTAGCATTGCCTTTAAATTGTTTAACTTGGGTCAAACGTTTCGGCTTCCCACAATAAGTTGGGTGAATTTTGGCCCATTCCTCCTGACAGAGCTGGTGTAACTGAGTCAGGTTTGTAGGCCTCCTTGCTCGCACACACTTGTTCAGTTCTGCCCACACATTTTCTATAGGATTAAGGTCAGGGCTTTGTGATGGCCACTCCAATACCTTGACTTTGTTGTCCTTCAGCCATTTTGCCACAACTTTGGAAGTATGCTTGGGGTCATTGTCCATTTGCAACCAAGCTTGAACTTCCTGACTGATGTCTTTGGATGTTGCTTCAATATATCCACATCATTTTTCTTCCTCATGATGCCATCTATTTTGTGAAGTGCACCCAGTCCCTCCTGCAGCAAAGCACCCCCACAGCATGATGCTGCCACCCCCGTGCTTCATGGTTGGGATGGTGTTCTTCGGCTTGCAAGACCCCCTTTTTCCTCCAAACATAATGATGGTCATTATGGCCAAACAGTTATATTTTTGTTTCATCAGACCAGAGGACATTTCTCCAAAAAGTATAATCTTTGTCCCAATATGCAGCTGCAAACCGTAGTCAGTTTTTTTTATTGCGGTTTTGGAGCAGTGGCTTCTTCCTTGCTGAGCGGCCTTTCAGGTTATGTCGATATAGGACTCGTTTTACAGTGGATATAGATACTTTTGTACCTGTTTCCTCCAGCATCTTCACGAGGTCCTTAGCTGTTGTTCTGCGATTGATTTGCACTTTTTGCACCAAATTACATTCATCTCTAGGAGACAGAACGCGTCTCCTTCCTGAGCAGTTTGACGGCTGCATGGTCCCATGGTGTTTATACTTGCATACTATTGTTTGTACAGATTAACGTGGTACCTTCAGGCGTTTGGAAATTGCTCCCAAGGATGAACCAGACTTGTGAACGTCTTCAGTTTTTTTCTAACGTCTTGGCTGATTTCTTTAGATTTTCCGATGATGTCAAGCAAAGAGGCACTGAGTTTGAAGGTAGGCCTTGAAATACATCCACAGGTACACCTCCAATTGACTCAAATTATGTCAATTAGCCTATCAGAAGCTTTTAAAGCCATGACATCATTTTCTGGAATTTTCCAAGCTGTTTAAAGGCACAGTCAACTTAGTGTATGTAAACTTCTGAACCACTGGAATTGTGATACAGTGAATTATAAGTGAAATAATCTGTCTGTAAACAATTGTTGGAAAAATTACTTGTGTCATGCACAAAGTAGATGTCCTAAACGACTTGCCAAAACTATAGTTTGTTAACAAGAAATTTGTGGAGTGGTTGAAAAACGAGTTTTAATGACTCC